TGGTAACCAATTAGATTGGGGTTGGTAAGAAGGTGAAGGAAGAAATCTAGGGGACTCCAAGTTTTCTATCTGGGGATCCAGGTGGATGGAGGTGTCATTAACTAAAACAGGGAACAGAGGGGAAAAAACAAAGTGAGGATGAGGAAAGATAATGAGAACAGATGCGGTTGTTACTTGTACACCCAGAAGATGTCTAGTAAATAAGCAGATACGTCCAGAACTCAGGAGAGAAATCTAAGCTGAAAATACAGAATTGGGAAGTATTAGGGATACAATATCCACTCACTTTTTGCCAGGAGAATTGATGAAACTGCCTGAGAAAACTGTATACAAAGGGACAGAGCCAAAAAAGAGAGTTCTAAAGAACACCAATATTTAAAGCCCAGGCAAAAATGAGTAAATGAAAACTAGGAGAGTGATCATCCAGAAGTTTAGAAAGGAGAGAGTTTCATGAAGGGAGTTGTAAATGTTAGTGAACATATGAGAGAGGTAAAGTTAACTTGTAATCTCCCCTGAATTTGACAACTGAATAATTGGTGACATGAAGGAGAGTTACAGAAGAATGGTTGGCAAAGAAAATGAAATAGAGGGATTTAGTTACAAGCTTGGCTGAGAAGAGAATAATAGCTAGAGGAGAATAGAGGGTTGAAGAACAACACTTTTAGGATGGCAGAGATTTTAGCATTTTTATAAAATGAGAAAGGGATCAATGGAAAGTGAGATTTTTAAGTTATACCTTTGTACTTAAAATTAGTAGATGGAAAGATACCTATGGTAAAAAATTAACTGAAAAAAACAAGTTGCAGAATATGGATAGCATGACATCACCTAAGATAAAATTCAGGTCCATAAGGCCTTTAAGTCATTTATCTCTTGGACCCCCCTACCCTCTGACTTCATCACATACCATTCTCCCCCTTGTTCACTTTGCTCCAGCCACACACGCCACTCTTTCTGATCTTTCAACGTATCAAGCTTGTTCTTGCCTCAGGAGTTTTGCACTTGCTGTTACTTCTGCCTAGACTGCTCATCTCCCTAACTGTCAATAACTAGTTCCTTCAGGTCATTCAGATCTCAGCTCAAATATCACCTCCTGTATATAATACTGCACAACCCTCCACTCCAGCTCTCAAAAGTTACTATCATTACCTTGTCTTGGCATCTATCACTATTTGAAATTCTTACTTGTTTACTTGTTCATTGCCCATCTTCCCCTCCAGAATGTACACTCCATGGGGAAGAGAGATTTAATCTGCTCTGTTCACCACATATCCCTCCTGCTTAAAACAGTGCTTGGCACACAGTAGACACTCCATTGCTGAATGAAAATGTATACACACATGTATTTACATGGAAAATATTAAGAAAGTTCTGGAGGGATCTATTACTGGAACTTATATCAGGGTGAAGGGGTAAGACTGGGAGGAAAGGGGTGTAATATCCACTCACTTTTTGCTTCACAGATCTGCATTCAATTTTCCCACAAAAATCATGCCTTTTGTGATTAAAAAAAACAATTTTTAAATAATAATCATGTGACAATCTATTCTGCATCTCTATTTTCTTTTTCTTTTGGTGGGTTGTCACGACCAAATCACCTGTGGCACAACTGAGAAATCTGATTGCTGGCTGATCCTTGAGTTGGGCTGGTAGGGCAGTTCAAAGTTAGAATCCTAAATCTTAGAACTGGAAACAGCTTTGTCGTTGTTGAGTACTGTCGAGTCGATTCCCACTCATAGTGGTCCTACAGGACACAGTGGAACTGTCCCATCGAGTTTCCTAGGCTGTTATCTTCAAGGGAGCACATCATCTGGTCTTTTCTCTCGTAGAGCGGCTGGTGGGTTCAAACTGCCAGCCTTTCAGTTAGCAGCTGAGTTTAGAAATCATCTAATCCAACTCCCTAGTTTTACCGATGAGGAGGCTGAGACTCAGTACTCAAGCGATTTAATTGATAAAAATAGGGGAGTCCCTAGGCAGCGCAAACAGTTAACCACTGACTACTAACCGAGAGGTTGGCAGTTTGAATCCACCCAGGGGTGTCTTTAATGAAAAAATTTCACAGAACAAATGATTAGGAACTATTTGAAAGGCTAGTCTATTATATGTTACATAATATATATGGGATAACTAATAAATGCTTATTAAAGCTTATTCTCACATATAACCTACAATCTTCTGGTGAAATTATTACTCAAAGTAAAACTATTTCCTTAAGTACATTACTTGACCGACGAATCCTATGGTTAAGCATCATAATATGACAAAGGATTCAGAGCGCATAAACGTAGGGAGTGAAAATTATTCACTCTTAAATCTCTAACACCGTTACAGTGCAGACTAACTGGATTCACAGGCACTTCTTTCCACCAGGGTATACATCAAATATATCATACATTTAAGGATTTGGTTATTCTTTAATTCAAATTTCTGTATCAATTTCTACATTGAATATTTAATGGAATTTAATGAAAATTAAATGTTAAATACATAAAAAGTGTACTACTAAATATCATTTACAGGAATCACTTGTTTCTCTTTACATATATACTGTAGTTTACCAGGAATACAACAAATTTTGTCTCAACTTTTGAATAATACCACCTTATATCTAAGAAACTCTCTCATTTGACTCTCGTAACAACCTCATAGGCAGAACAGATATTATTTCTCCCATTTAACATAGGAGAAAAATGAGGCTCCGAGGTTAAATAGCATGACCAAGGTCATTTAGACAAGTCCTAGAACCTACATCCTCTACCTCCTGGCCAGTGTTCTTCCCATCACCCAGGTTAACCATTTAGTAAAGTATAAAATCATAGCAACTCATAGCAACCCTATAGGACACAGCAGAGCTGCCCCATAGGGTTTTCAAGCAACAGCTGGTAGATTTGAACTGCCGACCTTTTTGGTTAGCAGCCAAGCTCTTAACCACTGCGCCAGCCACTTATCTAGAGAAAACAGGGAAGTCGCCTTAATTGAGAATTGTAGTCATCAATAATTCTGTATGAAATTCTACAAATATTCCAGATTTTCTTAATCCTCTTATTTAAAGTGGTCTCCACAAACAAGACCCAAAGTAATGTTAAGAAAAAGGGTTTTACTGTTGGGGGAAAAAAAAAAAAAGTGAAACCAAACCTTAGCCCTACCAATACACTTCTTAAATTCCTTGAGTCTCAGCATCCTCATCTATAAACTGGGGATAACATCACTTACCCCTGTTGTTGGGAAAATTAAATGAGATCATGTGTAAAGTAGTTGGCTCTTAGGAAAGGGCTGGGTAATACCGTTGGTGCTGTTAGAGAAACAAATAGATGCAGTATATCCTACTGCTGATAACTAATGTCATTTAATTTATGTGAACTTTACTAGTTTAACTTCCAGTGTGACCTTATTTCTTTTTTTCTCCCAAATATCTGGGGCAGAACACAACATCACTCTTGCTCTGCTCCCAGGGAACCGATTAGAGTGCTGGATTTCAGTCCTCTTCCAACCCCTCTAATTAAGCAATATAGTAATAACAATCTATTATTCTGACTCCTACTCTTTATGAGTCTGCTAATTGCATCATTCACTCTATTATGAAATGAAACTAATGTATTAAGCCAATTTTATAAATACAAATCATGATACAGTGAATTCATGTTGGGTGAAAGGGTAGAAAGTTTTCAGGGAGAGTGGGGAGAGGGACCTGAGCAATTATTATGTATTCAGCAGTCCATCAAACACTAATTTACTTCCTCTCTTCTATCCTCACAGCCACCATTCTAATCAATATTAGCATTATTTTACAGATTAGGATACAGAATCTTAAACTCTTCTTGCTCTCTCCCCCTTGATCAAGGGGCTCCAACCTCGCTAGCCTACAGGAAAGCTCTTGGCTCAGCCTTTCCTCCTGTTCTCTGCCCAGGTCTCCAGGCTCTTTAGAAGGCTGTCTCCTCCTGCTTCAAGTCTCACCTCAAACGGCACCTCCTCTAAAGTATCGCAAACCAATTACTTTGTCCTTATTTCCTTCATAGAACATAAAATGATCTGCATTCATCTTTTCTGTGTTTAAGGGCAGGGATACTTTGACTTATTACTGCTGAATCCTAGGTGCAGCGTACAGGAAGTGCTCAGATGCTGGCTGAATGAATAAATGAACACATCTGCCTACAGTCATCCAGCAAGTAAATGGCCAAAAACCGAAAAACCAAACCCGTTGCTATTGAGTCAATTTCTACTCATAGTGACCCAAAAGGACAGAGGAGAACTGCCCCATAGGGTTTCCAAGCAACGGCTGGTGGAGTCGAACTGCTGACCTTTTGGTTAGCAGCTGAACTCTTAACCATTGCGCCACCAGGGCTCCAAGGAAATGGCAGGGCCTGGTAAATCTGACTCCAAGCTCCTGCACTGCCCTACCACTACATCTGTCACAGATGGGAGGGGAGTTGCTTTGGGTTGGGTCATCAATTTGAAGATGTGCCTTGCTGCTTTCTATAGACTTAAAAAAAATTATAGAACTTCCAAAGTGCACTCAATACTACAAAATATTTAATCAAATCCCAAGAGATCTTACATTGCCTTTTAGAAGTACAACTCAATTTGAAAAAAACACCGCATTTACGATACCTCTTAGCAAATTAAATATTTCAAAACTGCTAAATAATTAGTATCTGCACAAATAGCTACTTCAGGCTGAAAGAAAATTTAAGTTACACACAAATACATTTTACTAAGAAACCTATATTTTGTTCTTTTATAAGCTGTTTTCAGTTTCACATACAACATACAGAAAATTTTAAAAATCAGCCATGAGATACCATTCTGATCACAGAAGTACTGCTCTTTCTTCAAGAAGAATGACACAAACGCCCTCAATCTCTTAAATCTCACTGTTAAACCAAGTTCTTGAGGTAAAAATCATCTCATGTAAAACACTAACTGCAGTTAAAGCAGCACCACTAACAACATTCCCTTTGTTATCTTACCCGGTGTGTGTGTGGGGGGGCGTTAATACTTACTGCTGAGTCCTCCATCCTCGGATACTCCCGTTCCTCTCATTCCTAGGTAAGTGAGTCCCAGTATTAGGAAAAATAAGCAGGCAGCAGTTAAGAGAAACATCGACAAGTAGTGGGCACTGAAGCCTCCTGTTGGGGACACCTCCTCGCGTTTAAATTGCTGGAGAAGTTCCTCCTCGGGTTCAGAAAGCTTAGGTTTGTTGTAGGTGTTTTTCAGGTAGGTATGTTTGGAGCCCGTATGGTTGGAGTGATTGATCCTGAGTGAACCGGAGGTGGCCACCGCCGCACTGGGAGAGAGGCTGTTGGAATAAATACTGGGGGAGTCCACACTGAACGCTCCACCGCCGATATGATTATTGGTTTTACGGAGGGAGCCTGTTGATGAATCCAAGGTTGAGTCCATGTCAGTAAGCGACGGTGGCAGGAGAGGGGTCAGTTTCTTAGCGTTAACACGGTATCTAGGAATGGGGCTGGCGTCCAGTGGATCACACCCTCCTCCTGGCTGCTGCTCCGCCGCCGCCGCCGCCTCTTCGAGGTTTCGGCTCCTGTCTAGACTCCCGGCAGCCGCCGCCCTGTCATTCATCGCGATTCCTCCCCCTCCCTGCACTGAGCTCTCCAGCCTGCTGCCTGCAGATTTAGCAGTCAGCGGAGAAAGAGGTTTACTATGGCTCCGTCTGGGCCGATGCCGGGAAAGGGAGTCATCCTTTAACACCTGTCTGGTGGAAGCCACGTCGTCCTCGTCTTCTTCCTCCGAGTCCGAATAGTTTTCCCGGTAGCTGTAAGGGAGAAGCCGACTGCCATTCACGGTCCGGCTCGGCCACAGTGGCTCATGTGCCTCCAGGTCCCTCTCCTCGCCGTCTTCTCTCTCCTCTTCCTCCGCTGCTCCATCTTTCCCCGATGGGGTTTGCAGCTCGGGGGCCCCCGGCCTCCTGGCCCCCCACCACGAGTGTGGCTTCCTTCGCTCGGCCGAGTTGCTGTTAGTCACCTCGCTGGCTGCCACAGGGGCCGGCGGCGGTTTCAGCCCGCGGTACTGGAGCGAAGCCCGGTCTTTTCTGCCGCCGCCGGCCTGGTCCCGGGGACTGGCCTCCACGTCCGATTCGTCCGAGCTGAAGCCCAGCAGCACTTTGCTGCCAGCCGCGGGGGCGGCTGAGGCGACCCCAGGCCCTCCCGAAGGGCTCTCCGGGCCTGAAACCGATATTCGGCCCAGGCCCCCAGGGGTCCGTAGGTAGGAGAGGTCCCCCGAGACCGGCCGGACACCCATCCCCACGGCCGCCGCCGCTGGTCCCGCGGCTGCGACCGTGGTGGCTGCGGTATTATTGTTATTAGTGTTCCGCGTCTTGTTGCCGCGGCTCCCTGACCGGTGCTGCTGCTGCTGCTCTTCCTCTCGAAGCTTCTTCAGCTTCTTGAGGTAAACTGGGCGGGTGCTCTCCGTCACTGGGCCAGGAGACAGCCCATAACGGCGGAGCTGGGAGAAAAGCTCCTCATCCGATAGCTGTTGAAGCGCCGAAGCCGCCGCTGCCGCCGCCATTTTCTCTCCAGAGTGTTTTACAAGCTCCGCGCTACCGGAAGTGACGCGCCGCCCTAGACCCTGAACTAGACCGGGTTGCGTCGCCCTCCCAGCGTCGCGAGCGTCTCGGCCAATGGGAGACGCGGGAGGAGCTCACCTGAGCGGGAAAGAGCCACCTGAGCGGCGCGCGGCTCCCGCGGAGAGTTTTTCCACGCTCTCACCTTGGGATCCCGGAGTTTTCTACTGCTTCTTCCTATCCGCATTTCTCACTGGCCTCTGCCTGGCCCTTCCAACGGCCATTCCCGGGAGCTGTCTCTTGCTAAACCACACCTTGAGCTCTTCTCAGGTTACTGCCACCAGAGCAGTAATAATTGGAAGGAAATCTGCCTTGAAATTCATGGCATTAGGTTTCTTTCCATCCAGATTCCCGCTGCCAAGGGAAGCCTAGAGAGACTCAAAGAAACCGTAATGGCCAGACTAGATTGGCAGTTTCCTTGTCTGGTTCCAGGTTCTCTTATTTCAGTTTCTCTCTACACTTACCGAATAATATATATAAGACTTTCTCTTAGCTGCTCCTTTTGTGAAATCTCCTCTTCCGTTCCTAGGAGAAGATAAAGAGTAGACCAGCCAAAATACAATTTTCAAGGGTAATGGCTATTCGTTCATTAGATGCTTGTAAAGTATATAAATCCCCCCCCCCCTTTTACTAGGCCATCATTTTTTTGAAAGAGCCTATCATTTCCTTAATTATATGACTCTGAAAAAAATAACACATCGCCCCGTTTATTTCCTGTATAGCACCTTTCCAACCGATAGTTACTTGTTTTGTATTATTAATAATTAATTTCATTGATTATTAATAATTATTTGTAGTTAATTATTTATTTGAATTTTTATTTATTTAATTATTTATTGTCTTATCCCTTTGAACTGAGAGCTCCCAGAGCAGAAGAACCTTGCTTCTGTTATTGGCAACTTCAGCCCCATAGTGCCTGATTCTAGTAGAAGTTCCATAAGCATTTGTTGAATAAATTAATGAATTGCAAAGCTAAGATAATATGAGATGAATATTTTTACATGGCGAAAGTGCCAGGTGAAGAGGAGGAACCCTCACACAAAGTCAAAAAACCAAGGACAATTAAGATCTGGAAATCCAGCACCCTTGTTTACAGAATAGAAACTGAAACCCAGAGAACTGAAATTTGCCTTATTTGGTAAAGATCTTGTCCCTTTTTCTCAAATCCTGGCAGAGCTAATGCTTCTTGAGTCCTAAACCCTAGCAGCTATATTTCAGCTCCTGGCACAGTACTTGGCACACTAAACAATGATGACTTGTGGAATGAATTATATTACCTTATATACACCTTATATACCAATTCAAATGTTTCCACAAACAGATGCAATGCTGGAAGTACTCACTTATCTTTGCCAAAAAATTTGGAAGAGAGCTACCTGGCCAGCCGACTGGAAGAGATCTATATTTGTGCCCATTCCAAAGAAAGGTTATCAAACAGAATGCAGAAAGTATCAAACAGTATCACTAGTATCGCACGCAAGAAAATTTTGCTGAAAATAATTCAAGGACCATCGCAGCAGTGCATTGACAGGGAACTGCCAGAGGTTCAGGCCAGTTTCAGAGGATGACATGGAGCGAGGGATATTATTGCTGATGTCAGATGGATCTGGGTGAAAGCAGAGAATACCAGAAAGATGTTTACCTGTGTTTTATTGATTATGCAAAGGCATTCAACTGTGTGAATCACAACAAGTTATAGATAACATTGAAAAGAACGGGAACATGAGGACATGATTTATTGCATGGGTTATAATTACGCTTTGTCTGGATGTTTGAGAAGACCTGAGACTTTCTCAAGAGAACTGTCACTAGTCATTCCCAACATTCTCCTCATTTACCAATGGATCTTACTCCTGCTTTCAGACTGACTAAATTTTAAGCATGAGGCTCTAATCTTAATTGGCAACGTTGACAAATTGCACCCAGGTATTGATAGGTAATGCAATCTCAAACTCATTCCTGCTCCATAGCTTCTAAAAATTTGACTGACAGAAACATTTATGATGAATTCCTGAAGGAAAGGCAGTCTATCTCCTCCTCTAGACATTTTAAATTTGCCTCTGCCTTAAGCCTGCTCATCGAGACCTATGTAGCTTGGGCTACATTACCACCACCCTGTTATCCCCGCTCCCCAGCCCCCACCTCCCAGGAGAATAACTTTCTCCATATTGTACTTTATAGTCACGGCATGAGCTTATATTGAAGGACCTTCCGGTGAGTGATGTGAAATCTGACATTATGTTCACGTGAAGATATTGCTGTGGGTGTGGGTCTTCCTTAAAGAATGTCCTTTCTGGTCTCAGTGTCAGAAATAGTCGCACTTCTCTAGAGCAACTCATTTGTTTTTGGTTCGTTTTATTTCTGTTTTAAGTGAAATTCACATAAAATTAACTATCTTAAAGTATACAGGTCAGTGGCATTTAGTAGATTTACAATGTTGCACAAACATCACCTCATCAAGTTCCGAAACATTTTCATCACCCAAAGGAAACCCCAAATCCCTTAAGCTGTTATTTCCCACTGCTCCCTCTCCTCAGCCCCTGGAAACCACTAATCTTTCTATATCTATGGATTTACCTATTCTGGATATTTCATATAAATGGAATCATACAATATGTGACCTTTCATGTCTGCCTTCTTTCACTTAGCATAAGGTTGTTGAAGTTCATTCACATTGTGGCACCAGTATCCGTACTTCATTTTTTTTTTTTAATAGCTGAACAATATTCCATTGAACGGATATTCCACATTTTGTTTATCAATTCATCCATTAATGGACACTTCGAGATAGTTTCCACCTTTGGCTATTGTAAATAGTGCGGCAATGAACATTGGTGTACAAGTATCCGCTTGCGTTCCTGCTTTTAATTTTTTGTATATATACCTAGGAGTAGACTCACTGGGTCACATAGTAGTTATATGTTTAACTTTTTGAGGAACCACCAAACTACTTATTTGTTTTAATCTTATAGATGGACACTGTTGATTTGGGGACTTGTCATGCTTCCCCTTTTGAGTTGACAGCTAGGAAGTTCAGACTCAAATTTCTGTCCCATCCATGTTGTTGTTGAATGTCGTTGAGCTGGTTCTGACTCATAACGAGTGACCCTATGTGAAACAGAATGAAACACCGGCCGGTCCCACTCCATCATCACAATCGTTGCTATGTTTGAGTGCATTGTTGCAGCCACTGTGTCACTCCATCTCGTTGAGGGTCTTCCTCTACTTTACCAAGCATGATGTCCTTCTCCAGGGACCTGTCTTCCTGATAACATGCCCAAAGCACGTGAGACAAAATCTCACCATCCTTGCTTCTAAGGAGCATTCTGGCTATACTTCTTCCAAGACAGATTTGTTCATTCTTTGGAAGTCCGTGGTATATTCAATATTCTTCGCCAATACCATAATTCAAATGCATCAATTCTTCCCTATTCGTTGTCCAGCTTTTGCATGCATATGAGGTGATTGAAAATACTATAGCTTGGGTCAGGTGTACCTTAGTCCCCAAAGTGACATCTTTGCTTTTTAACACTTCAAGGAGGTCTTTTGCAGCAGATTTGGCCTATACGATACATCGTTTGATTTCTTGACTGCTACTTCCGTGGGCGTTGATTGTGGATCCAAGTAGAATGAAATCCATGATAACTTCAATAGTTTCTCCATTTATCATGATGTTGCTCATTGGTCCAGTTGTGACGATTTTTGTTTTCTTTATGTTGAGGTGTAATCCATACTGAAGGCTGTAGTCTTTGATCTTCATCAGTAAGTGCTTCAAGTCGTCTTCACTTTCAGCAAGCCAGGTTGCATCATCCGCATATCACAGGTTGTTAATGAGCTTTCCTCCAATTCTGATGTCTCTTCTTCTTCAATAATCTTCTTCTCGGATTATCTGCTCAGCATACAGATTTAATAAGTATGGAGAAAGGATAAGCCCTGACCCAAACCTTTCCTGATTTTAAACCACGAAGTATCCCCTTCCTCTGACAAGCCAAGGGGTAAGTTTTATTAGTCTCCTTTTTTTTTTTTAATACACTTAATTTTTTAGAGCAGTTTTCAGTTTACAGAAAAATTGTGTAGAAGGTACAGAGATTTGCCATATACCTCCTTTGTCTCCACATTTTACAGGTGAAGAAACTTAAGGTTAAAAAGGTTATGTGAGTCAAGTCTCACAATAGTCAGATGGGAAACTGAAACCTAGTACCCTTTAAGTCTAAATTGCATGTTTTTTCCACTTCACCCACCATACTACCTCTAAAATACCCTTCTTAAATCATACAGTAATACATGTAAAAATAAACTTAGTTTCCTCTTTTCATTCCTATCCAAAGAGGAAGGAGTCTAATGGAGTGAGGAAGAGGACAAAAGCTCTTGCAGTTAACTCATTTCTTGTTTTGTTGCTACATGCAACAACTGGAAAGAAAAATATAAAACTGATTATATCACTTAAATATTTAGCAGATCAAAGAAGTAACACAATATTATATTGATGTTATCACTTCTCTCAAAGTGTCTCAAGGATGTGTTCACTAGTTTTACTCTACAAAGTTTCTAGTGTTTATTTTTCTTTTTAATTGCTTGAATTTTATTCAGCACTGACACTACTTCTAAGGAAGAAGCCAGAATAAACAGGCTGAAAATACAACCTAAGAGTGAGAAATGTTGGACACAATTCTTATCCTATGTTACTGCGTGAATTATCCAAGAAAGTTTCCTAGTGAGAGCATCTGGTTTGTTTTTCTTTATATAATTCAAACAGGTGAGGAATAGTCATACAATTCACATAAACAACATATGCATGCTGTGATTAAAAATTATATTCTGCTTTAACTATGCAACCAGGTGACTTGCCTAAACCATATATGAGAAGTTCACGGAGAGCATTTCACGTTAACACATGATAAACAAAGGGTCTCAAAGTTAGGAGGTTTGGGTTCTATTTCCTGTTCTGCAGTTAATTAAGTGTAGTAATATTGTACA